AACGTCCGAGTTCACTTGGGAGTCATCCTCGTCATTAGTGTTTAGAAAATTATTAGTTTTCGGAACTTGAGTGTTTTGTCAGAGATTTAATTTAACTTTATTCATCTTTCAATCTAATTTTATTGATCTTTATTTTTAAAAAATCTCGAAAATTTTGCGGTGAAATACAAGAGCCGAAAAGTTTACTAGTAAATACAGGTAAATGTACCGATATTTTTATATGGCGATACGATGCCCTACCGATATTTATGTATTGCGGTTTTTAGGAGGGTTATGGTAGTATTACCGATATTTATCGGTATAATACCGGTATTTTCCGTTTCAGTAGAAATATCTGGCTCCAGTCGAATATGTCACAATACGAGTTCAATGAGTAAAAATAGAAAATTTTTATTTTACTTAGAGTACAAATAAAATTTTTTTATAGTATCCAGATTAAGAATAAAAATTTGTTATTTTATTCACAGTAAAAGTAAGAATATTTTATTTTATTCAGAATAAGAATAAAAATTTGTTATTTTAAATTAAATTTAATAACTAAACTTAGGATTTGAAATTTAAACAGAATGCGTTTAAAACACAGTAAGCGTTTGATTTCTGTTAAATAATAATTCGTGTATCTTAATCTTGTTTTTGGGATCGAGAGCTGTCAGCATACGTGGACACGTGAATATTTGGGCTAACGGATTTTTTAATTACCGTTGACTGGCATATGGGCATATGGGCAGATGGTATATCTGTCTTCGACAGAAGGCGTCTGTGTTCACGATAACATTTGGTAACGCCTCCGAATATTCATAAATATTCCTCAGTTGGACAGAAAATTTATCTAAATTTCAGTAATAATTCATTCTTATTTGCAAGAAAATATTTCACGATACGACGATAATTTGAAATAGCGAAAATTAAGTTTTCTGGGTTAGGTTACGTTAAATATACCGCGAAAAGGAAATAAATACTCGATGATAATAAAAGCCAGACTGCTGAACTTGGTTTCAATTTCTTAAAGTTAAAACCACGTAAGATAACCCTGGAAGTATATTAAATTTTTTAACTTCATATTTATGAGAATTATGAGAATTATGAAAAAGAAATAAGTAAATTAAAATGTACGTTTGTCAACTACTTATAAAACATTTCGTCATGATAAAGCATTATAATAATTATGCAAATAATATGCAGCTAACGTGAAAGATAATAATTAAAAATTTTTCGTGTCGAAAATTATATGAGTAAATTGAATAAGTATATTATCGAAATAATAAATAAAATGAAAAGCTTGTTGAATTTTTAACGTGATATTTCATTAATAAATTATAAAATCATCGGAACATGATGTTGATTAGAGATGTAGAAGACATGGAATGAAAGATAATTATTGATCGAATCAGGTTATCGATAAATGACATAAATCATATTTTACAGTGGCTTTTTAGCGGGTATTCGATATGGTATCGAGTTCCACTAATTAAATTCTCATTGAAATAATTTAAGGGAAATGTGAAATGGTGTAATACAATTTGTTATTCGTTGATTAATTAAATTTCTCAAGATAATTAATAATACACTGGAAAAATTTGTAACGAAGGTAATTAATTTATTTAAACGTTGTTCTTTTGCATCAAATTCTCTGTGTTTTCCCTGTAATTTTATCGAGCGAAGTTTTTGATCTACTAATTAGATATTTTCTTAATTAGAGTAATAAATAGCAGAATCGAAGTATTAATAGAACACGTGTACTTATTCTCACCAATTTTTCATTTGAAATTTCAATTATCGAATAACTTATTTACAATTTTGATTATTCAATTACCTATTTAAAGCTTCTTGCATAGAAAATTAAAGATTTAACGATTTAAGTGTTCATTAACAACATCGAGTATTTATTTATTCACTCAAAACTGTATAATTCAATATCTCATTTCAAATTTTAATTACCGATTAATTTACTTACAATTTTGATAATTCAATTACCTATTTAAAGCTTTTCGTATAGAAAATTAAAGACTTAACGATTCAAGCATTGATTTACCATATCAAGTACACTTATTCACTCAAAACTGTATAATTCAATATCTCATTTCAAATTTCAATTACCGATTAATTTCCTAACAATTTTGATTATTCGATTGCCTATGTAAAGCTTTTGCCACATAAAATATTCCCTCGAATCTGCAACGAATTACATCGAAAAAGACAATCAAGGCATGAAAACCTCGC